AACACTGCGTGAGATTGTAACAGCTTATGCAGTGGTGATTAAGTTAGTAAATATAGGCCTTCTGAGGGCTGCAGAAAAGTGTTGTTTTTTAAAGTTTCTGACACACCTCCAGGTTGTATCCATGACAGCCTGGGCGCACAGTAAGAGGGTTGAATGATGCTGGCTATCATTCAGACTGGAAGATGAGCAGCACTGAATCTTATAACAGTAAGTCTGTGGGGAACAGCACTGCCAATAAGGTGAGCATTTAAGCAAAGGCTTATTTTTTTAATTGAATGTTAAAAGTGCAAAGCTGCATATAAAAATGCCAGCTGGTGCAGCTGTATACCCCCTTTAGCTCTTTAAATTTATAAAGTTGCTATTTGGACTTTTTTTCTTCTTGTGTAAAATGCCTGAAATAATAAAATACACCAAATAACAGGCACAAAATTGGAAAGGGCATCTAATTATTTTATGGATTTATTTTATATCTTTTTTAAACCTTTATGAATGGAAATGTATTTGTAAATCCACAAGGTTGCATCTGCCATCTGCTGCTCTTGCACCTGAGAGACATATGGAACACATTGCCGTGTTCAATACCTACTGCCCCCCTGCAATGACACTTGGTCATCTCTAGCCACATTCACTGTCAACCTGCTTGCCTTGAGTCCATAACCCACCTGCTCAGGTTATGTGAGACCCCTTGGAGGCCCTGTATTTCTGTTACGTACCTTCTGGGAGTCCGGATGTGAGAGGAGGCTTCCCTTGCACCTTGTTTCCTGGGAGACTCTGAGGATGGGAACAGAGCCCAGCGGGACAACAAGTGGCAGGAGTGCCAGGGGTGTTGAGCACCGTGCAAGCTGTAATCCAATGGGCAATCCGAGGTCAGGTTCCAAGCGGGCAATTCCAGTACAAAAGGGGTCAGGCAGAAGAATGGTCAAATAACAGTTCCGTGGTCAAGGCAGGCAGAATTCAAGGTTTGTCTAGGAAGTCCGGGTCACAAGGATCAAGCAAGATATCAACAAACTGGAACAAGGATTAGCTGACAATAAACCAGCAACATGGTGGTACTGCTGCTGGGTTTATATAGGGCCAGTGATGTAATTTCCTGTGCGCCATCATGGCAGATTTTTATGCTGATGGATTACTGCTTCTGCGCATGCGCGAGATGGCGCATCTTCTTCCGCGCAGGTTACTGTTTCTGCGCATGCGCGGGATGGGGTGTTCCCCAACAGCACGGGAACGTGCAGGCCGCACATGCGCAGATGGCGGGGATCCATTACAATTTCACTTTGAGTAGGTTTTGTTATTCCACTATTGTCAACTACAGCATGTCTGACAGCGCAGTCATCACACAAGTCCTGTTCTGCTCGCAGTTCACTCTTTGACTGTGAAAGGGACAGTTGCATTTGAATATCCTGTTCTTCTCTCTGGTTTTGGCCTCAGACCCTTATCCAAGCCCTCTCTTTCCTCTTCAGGTTTTCCACTGTTTCTTTTCTGATAGTGCAATTTTCTCCTCTATTATGTAGGGTGTCATGTCCCAGCTTTCACAGTCTTTGCGCTGATGTGCTGTTTTTGTTATCTCCAAACGTCGCTTTAGCCACGCCGTGATGCTGTGCATTGTGGCCAAACATTTCCACTTTGGTCTCATCTGTCCAGAGGACATTGTTCTAGAAGTCTTGTGGTCTGTTCAGAAGAAACTTTGCAAACCTAAGCCATGCTGCCATGTTCTTTTTCTCCTGCAACCCTTCCAAACAAACCATAATTGTTCAGTATTTTTCTAATTGTACTGTCATGAACTTCAACATTTGACATGCTAACTGAGTATAATCTGAGATGTAACTTTGGTGTTTTTTTGTTTTTGTTTTTTTGCAATTTCTCTGAGCATTGGGGTACATTTCCTGGGACATCCACTCCTGGGAAGCTTGGCAACTGTCTTGAATGTTTTCCACTTGTGAATAATCTTCCTCACTGTAGAATGAGGGACTTTAAATTGTTTGGAGATTACCGTATTACCCTTCCCAGATTTATGGGCAGCAACAATTTCTTCTCTAAGATCACTGCTAATGTCTTGCCTCCTTGGTATTGTGTTAACACACACCTGAATGCTCAAGACCAGCAAACTGCTAAAACTTCAGCTTTTATAGAGTTGGTCACACTTGCTGATGATCAAATATTTAAGGGCGTTTCTTTAGAAGCACCTGGCTGCTACTTAGCCTTCTAATTCCTATGAAAGCAGTAAGGGTGCACTTAGTTTTTTACACTAGAGGGTGCATTTTCTTTATTTCTTCATCAAATGTCTGTAGGTGGAGAATGCTCTTAAAGCAGAATTTTATGTATTAACCCTTGCTGTGGGGCTACCCCCGCACTGCCTAACAAGGGTTAACTGCTCGTTTGTGTCTAGGTTAAACAAAAACCCCAAATAATTACTCACCCAAAGCT